TTAGCATGTTAAATATGTATAAGGGTATTAACGTACTTTTACGTAATAAAAATGTATATTTTTCCAATTTTACCAGATTAAGTGTATTTTTCAAATTTCCATATAAAATTTAGGGTACTTTTCAAAATCTCCCTAGATTTTATCTCTTTATTTGTCATCAAAACTGGTTAGTTAAAAAATATGTATAGTGTATGTAGGCATTTGCCCGTCCGATTCAAACTTGTCAGGGAGAGATTCTAAACTATCATATTACTTGTAGAGATTTAAGTGGTACAATTGTAAATACTAATTGAATTTGGGTATCCTGTCAAACAAATTTTTGATCGTTAGTGGTGTTAGATTCAGTTTGTTTTCAGATATCATTTGATTTCTAATTAATATGTTAGTAGAAATTTTAAGGGGTATAGTTGTGAATACTAACCGCGTCTGGGATCTTGTCAAATAAATTTGATCATTAGAGGTACCAGATTTCATTTGTCTTTTACACTATATATCTCTTAGTTTCTAATTAACGTGTTAGTAGTAAATTTAAGTGATAAAACTGAGAATACTAACCGAATGTGATATCTTGTCAAAAAAATTTGATCGTTAGAGATGCTAAATTCAATTAGTCATTTATAATGTATCACTTAGATTCTAATTAATATGTTAGTAGAAAATTTTATCTTCTTACACTTTTACGATAAAAAAATATTAGCTGAGTTTAATCTTTTTTTAGGTAACTACAATGGAAATCTAGTGAGTTTATTACTAGAAAAAATCCTTTTGATTACTTCGACAGCAACTATATTAAAATCTCTATAAATATAAATTAATAATTAATAATCCCAAAAAATACGACAAACAAAAAATTCCAAAAAAAATGTAAAGTGGGAGAGATGTTTCACAGAAAGAAACACTAAAGATGCTTTTGATTTGTTTTCTTCGATTGGTGTATTTCATTAGACAAAATTTTGCTAATCTTTTTTTATTACTATTATTATTGAAAAATTAAAAATGAGATAGTATATTATTACAAAGTGGGAACTTTTGAAAATTGTAGACAATTTTGAATGTCATGGAATTGTTTAAATCTGTATAGTTTTTGCAAACAGTAGTAATTTTGTAATTTTTTAGTATCATTTTGCCTATTTACCAATTGGTGTCTATTATACACTACTTTTTATTTTCTTATATTCATTAATTGTTTCCTTTTTATTTTATTGTCTTTTAATTTATTTATTTTCTTCTATTTCTCATATTCTCCTCTATTTTGTCCCTATTATGTAAGTTTCTTTTATAGAATGTGGTTTATAAATATGAAAAAACCATGTTATTTCATTGTTTCCATATATTTAAATAATTCAACAAATCTCTATTTTAACAAATACAAAGTTCAATTAACTGCTACACAGTCACAAATAACAATTCTTTTATCTATTTGAACCTACCAAATAATATAATACAATGTGGACAATATGTTATAAATACTCCACACAGTTATATCAATCAATAACAAAACGTGGCATCATTTGCTCAAAGCATTACTGGTCCAATCAAATTTCAATTTATCTTATGAATATCGACACCTATATGCATACAATTAATTTTATATTTATTACATTTTTGAAAAAAAAAAAATCTCATCAATGTATGTGTACAAAACAAAATGTGAAAGAGAAATATCTCATCGATTGGGTTTAGTTTTAACACGATTATACGATTCAACTAACCAAGTAATCAGTGATTACCAACTAATCACTCGCTAATCATGGATTAAAATCTTGCATATAACAACTAAAAAAGTTTTATTCATCGATAATCATAATCATTAAGCCCAACATTACACTCACAAACAAGAACAAACATAACACACATAAAACCTCAATGTATCATCATCACTCAAACGATCCAAGAAAGTTTTTTCCGGATCTCTGACCCGACCCGACTAACACTATCCTTAAGCTTCACCGGACAATTATTCCTCACGGCGGTGAGTTCATAAGGAGAAGTATCAGTCGCAAGCCATTGCTCAATCTCGAAATCCTGAGTCGAACACTGTGCGTGAACACCAGTCGTCGTGACCTCAACGTAATTAACGTACCAGCCATGGTGGTCACCGGAGCCGTCGGAGGTTAGGTTTAAAGCACAGATCGGACTTGGTAAACACGGTGCTCTTCCACTGAAGATATCGAGATTACTTCTCTCGTAGTAATTGTAATCTGGTCCCATTAATCCACCCCAAGCTTGTAGGTTTTTGATTCCGATGTAATCGCCGTATTTGTCGTAGATTCGAACGCTGATTATCGAATCGGTTCCTGCTTTCCAGATCGATCCGGTTCTGAGGTAGAATGTGTAAACGCAATCTGGATCATCTTCCTGAAAAATTCGAAAATCAAAAAAAAAAAGTCAAAATCGGTGAGATTGAAATCGGAAAAGGTTTAGAGATTTAAGGAAGTTTACGGCGGAGATGACGACGGAGACGGTGGCGATTAGAAGGAGGAAGAAAGGGAGGAGGACGTCGCGGCGAGTCATCATCGGTGGTTTGATTTTTGTTTTCCGGTGAGTGGTTTTTTTTTTGTTTGTTGGAGAGAGATCAATTAATAGATGCGAATATTGAGGGGAGGGTTATTTTGGGGAATTTAAAATTTGGGTTAGTTATCACGTGTTTCATGGTGTAGTGTGTGTAGTTGACGTGGGGGGTTTTTATTGGAGAATTGAGAGAAGCTTGTTTTAAACGCGGCGTTTTACTCGGCGAGTCGGTAAGGGTTTGGTTTAGTAGATTACGAAATTATCCCTTTATATATGCCTCTATCATGCCAACGTACGGACCAGGGAAAATTTGAGAAGATTTCTTTATTTTGTTTTTTTTTTAAGAAATAATATTTGGCTATGGAAATTTTTGATATTTTGTTTTATCTAGTTGAATTCTTTCTATGTTAATAATTAGAATTTTCCATTAATCTGGTCCCACAACCTATACGGAGAGGAAGCCAGGACCAAAACAGTAAAGCAACAAGCAGGAATGGCAAATGATACTCCAAAAAGGAAACACACTCAACCAAAGGATGTCTCACCGCTGCAGGGACATGGGAACACCTCCACACCAATAGGAAGCAGGAGAGACAATGGA